CACCCCCCCACCCCCAGCCACCCTCAACACCCAAGTCAGACTCTTCCTCCCGGCAGCGGTTCCCCGCCAGGGTTCCCCGTGGTCAAATGCTGCCTCTCCCGCCCCATCCTCGCACGCTGCTGAGGGCTCTTCGGGAGCTTTGGGTGGAAGACTGGGTGTCGGGCCTGAGGCAGGGTGTGCGGGGGCAGATGCAGGTGCGACTCCAGCCCCGCGGCGAGGCACTACAGAGAACTACGGTGGCGACAGTGTCGCGGTCACTGCAGCCACTGCGGCACAGCACTGTAACCGCAGCGTTCGGTGTGGGCTGTCATCTGCGCTGAAGCCAGTAACCGCGCACGCGGCCACAGGCTCAGTTTCCACCTCCACGTCCCCCGACCCTGCAGGGGAAGATGCCGTACCCCACGGCGGCGGCCCCGCCCTCCCCCACGCCTCGTACCCTCCCTCCCCGAAACCTCCCTCCTCGCAACCTCTCCATCCACCATCCACATCCAACCCCCACCGCACCCTGCCATCTCTCTCTCTCTCTCTCTCATTCCCCGGGGCGGAGACTGTAGTGAAGGGGAGTGGGCGGGAAGGAAATCTCTAAAAGTAGAGCGGAGAGGTTTATTTTAGGGGAGAGAGGGCTCAAGCCTGGAGGACAATCGCGCGGGGGGCAAGTCCCGAGCGGGGGAGGGGACAGAGATCACCTGGCAGGACAGCTGAGGACCGGAGCTTGGGGGACCCGAGCCCAGGCGGGGCGGGATCGCAGAGGAGCTGAGGGCAGGGGCCAAGGCTGGGGGCGGGACCAGGCGGGGCAGGTGGAGCCGCCGCGGGAGCCCGCCCGGCGGAGCCGAGGGAGGGGGCGGCTGGGCCAGGGCCATGGAGCTGCTCAAGCTGAACCGGAGCGTGTCGGGATCCGGACCCGGGCCAGGGGCTTCCCTGTGCCGCCCAGGGGGGGCCCTCCTCAACAGCAGCGGTACTGGCAACCTCAGCTGCGAACCCCCTCGCATTCGCGGAGCCGGGACACGAGGTGGGTGCCTCCCTAAGCTCCTCCACAAGCTCCCTCTCACTGCACCCCACAACACTGATAGAGGACCCCACTGCCTCCACGCTGCCACCTCAAACGCCCACGCCATCCTCTTAGGACACTCCCTTTGTCCCCAGACAGCTCCCCTGACACATTTGTCCCCCTCAGTTCATAAAACTCGATCCCAGCTCACACTACCTGGTGAGAACCCCTTCACACCCTGGTTTCCTGGTCATACCGAGAGCTTCTAATCACCCCCAAACACAGCACCTTCCTCAATACACAGCCACCTCCTAGACACAGAGGCAAGGACCTCCTCTCGCCAGTCCTTCTAGGTCTCTCTTTTGCCTTTGCATCCAGTTCACAGAGCGACAATGGAAAAGGAAAGAAAGAAAAAAAGGCAAGATTGGAGGTGGGGGGGCGGGGGGAAGGGGGCCGTTTGGGCAAGGGAGCACTCTGGAAGGCCTGAGTGGGAAGTTAGAGTTATAATCTCCCGTGTCCCCAACCCCAACCTTCCCCAAAGAGATCGTCAAACTTCAGTTAGGCTGGGCGCTGCTCCCTACTGCCTGTCTCCATTTCACTCGTCCTCAAATCCTCCTGCCTCCCAACTTGGAATTCTTCTCAAGGTCTGAACCCTCTCTCTTTCTCTCTCTGTCACCAAGTAATGTCTCCAAGTCCCTTCCAAGCCACCCCTCCAACCTGCCTCTCCTTAGGTTTCACTGTCTTAAAGCCTGGCTGGCCCCTGCATCACCCCATCACTTTGTGCCACCACCCCTTCAGACTACTTCCATTTACCCAGTCCCCAAAATAACTTTCACTCTTCCCATCAGCCAACATCTGCATTTTCTTGATGACCTGGCTTAAGTTATATATTTTCTTCTTCCTGTACCGTTCCTTTCCTTAGTTTCCTGGGTAACTGCTATTGTAGTCCCTGGGGACATAGGGATGAACTAGACCCAGTCTGGACCCTCCTCGGTACATAGTCAAGTGCAGAGAGGAGACAAAACCAATGGAAAAATCACAGTCAGCATAGGTAGACCCACAAGAGGGTCCGAATTGTGGGCACCCAAAAGGATCCAAGAACTTCACAGAGGGAACCTGGGAGCTGGGTCTTGACGTTGGAGTTTATTATGCAGACAAGGAAGAAATGGGATTCCAGGAGAGGAAATGGTGTTAAGCAGAAGGAAATTATTCCAATCCCAAAAAGAGAAAGTGGGAATAAATTATAATTCAAGTACTTTTTTACCCCATGAAAGAATGCATGCTTTCTCATACCAGTTGTTTACAGACTCTCGCTTAGATTTTTTCTTATTCAACAAATGTTTATTGGACCAGAGATTGTGCTAGACATCAAAACTGACACAGTTCCTATTTCATGGAGCTCGCAGTTTAGTGGAAGAGAAAGACAAGTAAGCAGGGGATTGCAGCACCAAGTACCTTGAGAGGGCTGTGGGAACACAGAAGAGGAGCACCTCTAGCCTAGCCTATCATTGGGAAATCAAAGTTAGCCTTCTGTGGAGGCCAAGTATGAACTGAATAAAAATTAAAAAGATGAGGGAAAGCCAGCCAAATGAATGGCAGAAAAGGCAAAAACCACTCCAACCAGAGGAACAATATGTGTAAAAGCCCAAAGTTTAAATCCATGGCACTTTTGTTCAGTGTGTCATAGTTTCTGGATGCCTGAAACATATACTATAAGAAAGGAATAATGAACACTCAGGATGAAGGCAAGCCTAAAGAGCCGTATAGACCTAAGGAGTGTCCATTTTATTTTGAAGGCAATGGGAACTACTAGAAGTTTCAGTAGTACTGCCAGGATTTGTTCTGTAGTGTAGAGGATGGATGGGAAGGCAAGACATGGAAGGAAGGGGGGTGGGGGGGGGGACTTTAGAAGATGATTATATTACACTGGTTCTGGTGAAAGATGACACTGGCTTATAGACTAAGTTACCGGCAATAAGGATGGAGAGAAGTGGATGTGTGAGAGGCACTTCTGGCATCAACAGAATTTAGCTATTTATAAGAAATGGAGAAGTGGGAAGAGGTCAGGGTAACATCCAGGTTTCTGGCTTGGACAATTGGATAGATGTTGGCGCTATATAATGAGAAGGGTAACAAAGGAACGGAAACAGATTTGAGAGAGGAGATAATAAATTCAATTTGGAACACACTGAGCGGAAATGCTGGTGAGATACTCAGGTGCAGTCACCTCGTAAACTGTTCAACCCAGGGGTCTGGAACCTAAGGGAGAGGTATGAGCTAGAAATACAGACTTGAAAGGTTTTTGCCTAGAGGAGGTAATGAAAATGATGGGAATAGATAAAATCATACAAAGATTGTGTAGGATGAAGAGAAAAGAGGTCCTGAGACAGGACCCTGAAGAAGGCCAATATTTAAAAGTCAGACAGAGGAAAGAAAGTCCAAGAGGGTTGAAGGTGCAGAAGATAGCAGGGACAGTCAATAGAGCACGGGACCCTAAGAAAGCGCAATGTGAAGTGATTCAAAGCACAGGTATTAAGAATTGGCCTCTCATCTGGCTGTTGTTACCCACACAGTCAGATGTTACACTGGCTGTCAGAAGTTACCCACAAAGACCCTGTTAGCCATGCTTACTCAGATATTACTCTCACAGGTGCTTGTTACCCAGGCTCACTCCAGTGTTACCAGTAGAAATTTGGATATCACCTGCACTATTCTGTATACTCCACACAGACTTGAGTGTTACCCATGTTCATGCAGATGCTACCCACAGAAAAACAGATGTCACCCACACTCACATTAATATTGCCCACATCATTTAGATGTTACTCATTTTCAAACACACTCATTTTCATTTTATTGTTATCTGCACATAATCTGATATTCCCCTTGCTCACTTAAGCAACCCTTCTCCAGATATTACTCACACATTCAGATATTACCCACAAAGATTCAAATATTCCCTATTTCGCTTGGGTGCTGAGTTATTTCACTCAGATTAGCATGTCACTTAGCATCTTAGGGCCTTAACTTCCCACATCCATGCTCACTTAAATACTGTCCACACATACTTAGAAAGAACTTCTGTCTCTAAAGAGACAGGCAGAAAGGAGAGGGCAGGCTCCAGCTTTAGAGGCACAGAGATGAAGGATGGATGAGGAAGAACAAAGCAGGTGCGTTTGTGTGCAGAGTAACAGAGATTCATTCTGGATTCTTCAATGGGCATGTGTTAACACCTATGTGTGGGACATGATGCTAAGTGCTGGGGATATGCTGGAGAATGAGATGGACACTGCCCTCATCCTCAAGAAGCTCATAGTCTAGTGGGTGAGACAGAGAATTAAACATCATCATAATAGAGTGAGAAATGCTGTGATAGAGAACAGAGAGGGAGGAAGAGTCACTGAAATTGAGATTTGATTGGGAGAAGGAGGTAGTATGATGAATGACAGAGAAGCGTGGGAGCAGTAGCAGGCAAAGCATTTTACAGAACTGGAGATTGGCCTCTGTTCTGATTCTTCCCCTTACTTGTTGTGTGCTCTGAGTAAATTATGTCACTGCTGGGTTCAGTTTGGGGATCTCTTGTAAATAGCATTTACTTCATGTCTACAACAGCTTCTGAATAAGTTGGTTGTTATGAGAAAACAGTTTAATTCGGGGGCTAAGGCAAAAGCCAGCCAATGTATAGGAAGATGGAAGAGGAAATTGCACTTCTGGGCCCTTCTCTATCTCCAACCTGGAAGGCTCTGCCGCTGCCCTCTCTCCCTTCAAGCTCTAGTCTCCCTTATGTGGAGGCCATGGATATGGGTAACTAGGCCACTTTAATTCAATTCAGTTTTGTCTAGGTCTGCTTGGCTGTGATATAGAGGCCCAAAGATATATCCATCTCACAATAGTCAGTGATGCAAATGACTGGGGTCGGCCCTCTGTGTGCCCAGCAAACCCAGTGTCCCTCCTGTGACTTCCCACAGCACTCTTCTGTGTATCCTGAACCTCACTCCTTATCACACTGTGTGGTGAACATCTGTTTATATATCTGAGTTCCCTTCCTTCTTTTCATGTTCTCCTGTGTCCCCAGTGCCTGGCATAAAGGGAATCCTCTGTAAATGTTTGATGAGAGGGAATGAATGTTTGGAGATCATTAAAATACAAGGCAGAAAGTAAAAAATTTCAAAAACATGTGTAAAGAACATGCATGGGTCAGAAGAAGGGGAGATTAACTCCTAATGAGATGCCCAGAAAGGCCTTACAGAAAAGGGGGCATTTGATCTGAGTCATAAGGACAATGGTAAATAGGAATTCACCAGATACAGAAAACAAGGTTATGATAGGAGGCAGTGGAGGGGGGAGGGGTGGAGCAGTGAAAGAGCTTCTAGGCTGAGAAACCAACATGAGCTAGGGAGGGAGTCATGAGTGCACAGGATGCCTTCAAGAAACTGAGTCATACAGCAGCTTACGTGGGTACATTGCAGGGGGGAGGTGGAAGGAAGAAGAGTGCAGTTCTCAGAGAACCTGGATGACGTGCTAATGGGTTATTGGCAGTAGAGAGTAGGTGAAGGTGGTTTTTTTAGACAATTAACGACATGATCTGACCTGTCTCTGACCTGATCCCAGGACCAGACCAGGGGTGCTTAGGCCAACCTGGTCAGGTAGACTACCCCGATGAGAGAGACCTTTGGGTTTAGCAGTTAAAGCTCAGTGACCTTGGAAAGAAGTCTCCTAACAGTGATGGGTGGACAAATGGGGCACTGGATTGTAATGGGTTGAGGAGTGAATGGAAAGATGCAAATAACCCTTTCAAAAATTTTGGCTACAAAAAAGAAGGAAAGATCTGTAGTAAAGCTTGAGAAGAGACAGGCTTTTCTTTTCTTTTTTTTTTTTCCTTACAACATACATTTCTTAGCTCACAGGCATGTAGGCCATAAGTCTCGGCTCTGGGGTGAAATCTGCTTCCAAGCTCATTCTTGTTATTAGCAGAATACACTTTCTTGTGGTTGTAGCACTGAAGTCCCTATTTTCTTGCTGGTTGTCAGCCAGAGACTGCGCTCAGCTAGAGGCCACTCTCAGGTGCTTGCTCTGCGCCCTTCTCCATCTTTCAGGGAGCCACAGCCATCTTCAATCTATGTATCGAATCTCATTCAAGTTTCTGGAAGTTCCTCTTCTGCTGCCAACCAGAGAACACTGCTGGCTTTTCAAAGATTCATGTGATTTGGTTAAGACTAATGGATAACCTGTCTTATCTTTTTTTATTAATTTCAGGTGTACAAAACAACGTAATGATTAGACATTTACACCCCTCACAAAGTGATAACCCCACCAAGTCTATTACCCCTCTGACACTGTACACAGCTATTGCAATACCATTGACTATATTCCCTATGCTGTACTTTACATCCTGTGTGTGTGTGTGTGGGGGGATTACATATATATATTAAATATTATTTTGTATTAGTTTCAGGTGTACAGTGCAGTGCCTAGGCATTTATATAATCTATTGAGTCATTCTCCCCTGTAAGTCCCGTACCCCTCTGACACCCTACATAGTCTTTACATTAATGATTCTATTCCCCCTACTGTATTTGACATCTCCAGGACCATTTTGTGACTACCAATTTGTGCTTCCGAATCCTTTCACCTTTCTCACCCATCCCCCAACCCCCTTATCATCTAGCTATCATCAGTTTGTTCTCTGTATCTAGAGACAGGATCTCTTAAGGAAGGGTAGAGTTAAGCCAATTTAAGGGTAGAGTTAAGCTTCAAGGAGTTATAAGGGCAAGGGATTCAAGTTCACCATTTACTGAGTGTGTTTGGGGGTGTTCTTGGGAAGCAGGGCATCTGGCTGGGTAGTGGGGGTTGAGGATAAGTGGGATTGGAGGATCTGGCTGAGTGGAGGCCGGACCCGCTATGGTCACCTCTCCCTCTTCCTACCCAGAATTGGAGCTGGCCATTAGGGTCACCCTTTACGCAGTGATCTTTCTGATGAGCGTCGGAGGAAACGTGCTCATCATTGTGGTCCTGGGATTGAGCCGCCGCCTGAGGACTGTCACCAACGCCTTCCTGCTCTCTCTGGCAGTCAGCGACCTCCTGTTGGCTGTGGCCTGCATGCCCTTCACTCTCCTGCCCAATCTCATGGGTACCTTCATCTTTGGCACAGCCGTCTGCAAGGCGGTTGCCTACCTCATGGGTAGGTGAGACAACCGCCCTGCCCCCTCGTCCCTCTCTTCTTCTAAAATCCTTGCCAGAAATCAGGGTGTTTCTTGGTGGGGGTTGAGACTGTGACACTAGTGAATGTGTAGTACAAGTCTCCTAGGTGACCCCCTCCCCTTCCCTTGCTTAGGGGTGTCTGTGAGTGTGTCCACGCTAAGCCTCGTAGCCATCGCCCTGGAGCGGTACAGCGCCATCTGCCGACCACTGCAGGCTCGAGTGTGGCAGACGCGCTCCCACGCGGCTCGTGTGATCGTGGCCACATGGATGCTGTCTGGACTGCTCATGGTGCCCTACCCCGTGTACACTGTTGTGCAGCCAGCGGGGCCCCGTGTGCTGCAGTGCGTGCATCGCTGGCCCAGTGCGCGGGTTCGCCAAACCTGGTGAGGGTGCCCCTTACCTATTCCGGGAAATTCTCTTTTCCATCTCCATCACATGCTTAGAACCATTCCCCAGAATCTTCCTTCAGCTGCTCCAAGGACTACCACTCCAATTCCCTCTCCGCACCCACCACCCTTGGATTCCTATTTGGGGCCCCTCCTCGGTGTTCTAGCCCTTCCCAGCAGCAAACCCGAATCCCACTTCCACCGCTAGGGCCTAAGCACCACCAGCCCTAGAAACATCAATCTTTGGCTCTGCCTCTATCTGTAATCATAGCTGACAGACCCGCATGGCTGCTGTGCTCTGCCTCCAGGTCGGTACTGCTGCTCCTGCTCTTGTTCTTCATCCCCGGTGTAGTTATGGCAGTGGCCTATGGGCTTATCTCCCGCGAGCTCTACTTAGGGCTTCGCTTTGACGGTGACAGTGACAGCGAGAGCCAGAGTCGAGTCCGAAGCCCAGGAGGGCCGCCAGGTGGTGCGGGAACAGGTGGGTGAAATCCATAAGGGGCGGGGCTTTGGAAAGGGGCAGGGCCTAGGATGGGTGGGGCGGAAAGGAGAAAGAAGAGTGTCTGGAAATGGGGGGTCAGGTGTGGGTTGGGCCGGAGGCTGAAAGGACTCAGCTGTCTGCTCTGAACGCCCACTCTCTGTGCTCAGGTCCCGCCCATCTAAACGGGCGTTGCCGGCCTGAGACGCGGCCGGCTGGAGAGGATGGCGATGGCTGTTATGTGCAGCTTCCTGGTTCCCGGCCTGCGCTGGAGCTGTCTGCGCTGACCGCGCCCACTCCCGGGACAGGATCCGGCCAGCCCAAGCCAGCCCAAGCCAAGCTGTTGGCGAAGAAGCGCGTGGTGCGGATGTTGCTGGTGATCGTTGTGCTTTTCTTCCTCTGTTGGTTGCCAGTGTACAGCGCCAACACATGGCGTGCCTTCGACGGCCCTGGTGCCCACCGCGCACTTTCAGGTGCGCCCATTTCTTTTATCCACTTGCTGAGCTATGCCTCGGCCTGTGTCAACCCCCTGGTCTACTGCTTCATGCACCGTCGCTTTCGCCAGGCTTGTCTGGATACGTGCGCCCGCTGCTGCCCCCGGCCACCACGAGCTCGCCCCAGGCCTCTTCCAGATGAGGACCCTCCCACCCCCTCCATTGCTTCACTGTCCAGGCTGAGCTACACCACCATCAGCACACTGGGGCCTGGCTGAAGGGTGGGGGCAGGGTGGGAACCGAGGCAGGACAGGCCAATTCCTGCAAGCACTGACCCATGCAGACGCACAAGACACACAGACAAAAACTGACACAAGATACTGACACCCAGTAGCATGAGCTAAAACCAATGCACAGGAAAAGGTGGCTTATCTGACACAAAGGAAACAAACCAAACCCCACACAGGAAACCAGGCACACTCTTGACATGGCATGTAGAAACATGGCACTGACCTTGGACGTACCCAGTCACAGCGTCCCTAGCAATGGACTATCCCTACACAGTGGGAACTCCGATGGCTGACTTGCCTCTCCTACACATACAGTAATGGCACGAATTCTTTTAGGAGCCTGGCATGGGGCTGACTCCTGAGATGCTCCAGGGTGCTCCCAGTTTGACCTCACAGTGCCCTTCCCCAATCAGCTCTGGAAATACCCCAATCTTACACATCCCTGACCAACAGGCTGGTTTGCACTGAAAAGTCCCTTCATTCCTTTCCAATTAAATACTGTGTCCCTGCCCCCTCCTCCCTCACCTGACCTCTTCAAGAAATAATAAATGGCTTGGCTTCCTCCTAAACTTCCTTTCTGGACTTTTTGGGGGGCAGGTCAGGCAGTATGGGATTTTGTGACCTTCCCTGTCAGGTCGTGCACAGCATGACCCCCTGCCAGGAAGCCCATGGTCTGAGGCTAGATGAGGCTGTGTCTTCTCTCTGGGTTGTCATCCCAGACCCACCTACACGTCAGTGTCGGAGTAGCTGGGAATAGGGATGAGGGTGGGAGGTTGGATATCCATAATACATCATGACTCCTGAGCGTATTTTCCTAAAGTGATGCCGTTGTTATGGTACTATATTAATAGATGCTTATTAAAAATTGAATGAAAAGATAAAAGAAGCACTGTATAATAAGACTCAGTTTATTCAAAGTGTGTTTGAAACACCAGAGGTCAGACCATGATAGATACACAGAAGGTACAGGAGTTAGTTAAAAACTAGGACCTTTTGGGCCGGCTGAGTGGCGCGTTGGTTAAGAGCTGGCTTGGGACGCCAGAGGGCCCCGGTTCGGATCCCACATATGAGGGCCAGTGACACTGCCCTCTACAGCTAAGATTGACCTGGCGCTGGGCTGCTGTGGGTCGCCGGTGTCGGCGTAGGCTGCAGTTCCCTGCTGCAGTGGGTTGCCATGGGCTACGGTGTGTAGCCGGCAGCCAGCGTGAGCGGCCAGCAGCCTCCGTGAGTGGCCAGCAGCCTCCGTGAGTGGCCGTCCAGAGGCTGGCGACTGATCTGCCTCACCTGGGAAGAGTGCAATGATGGTGCCAACTTGGACCAGTGAAGCAACATCCTCCACAACTAGACTGAAGAACAAAACGACAGCAACTTGTCTGTTCCCCTTCCCCCTGATTCCCCAGTGCTGTTCCCCTCCCCCAATTCCCCAATAAAATCTTTAAAGAAAAAAAAAACCTAGGATTTTTTAAATGCACTCTTCTCTAGTAGCAGAATCTGGCCAAGCCTTCCACCCCATACAAGCATCCTTACTGGCCAGCAATGACAAAGGGTGTATGTGGGCGGGGTCCTGGACCTGAATGAGAGTCCCACAGCCCAGCCTCTCTTTTGACTGTAAGACTGATCCAGCCCCAGAGAGAGGTAGAGACAGAAACATCACTCCCCCCCACACAGTGACAAACAGGGAAGAACAGATGACCTCACCAAGAGAACATACATGGATAGTCAGAGGTATAGTATGTTGGGAGAGGGCTTCCTTGACACTTCATCTTGTAACAGATGGGAAAACTGAGACCCAGAGCAGGAAAGAAAACTGCTCAAGATCTTACAGCAAACTAGAGCAAGACAGAGATGACCCTGTTGAAATAGACACTGAGCTAGAATTGGGAAAGTACCCATAGCCATCAAGGGGTAGCCAAGTTTTGTGGGGCCCGGAGCTTATAAAATTTGGAGTTCTTTTTAAAGAAAAAGAATACAAAATTACAGATACAATATTGCTAGGATGCTGACCAGGCCCTTGGGAGAGACCTGTGCGAGTGAGGAGCCTGGAAATTTAAGCCTCATCAGCTTCACAGCTAATAATGCCTCTAAAATCCACCCACTAACTACACTGGACAAAGACTTGATGGAGTGAAGGACAGTGAGAAAGGAGTGGGTCTTCTGTTTACCAGCGCTGAGGCAGCTCCGATCCAGCCTTCCTACAGAGCTCTGGGCTACAAGAGGAAGGAGAAAAGGAGAGAGGGCATTCAAGCTGTCAACCAGGACAGTGCTGGTTAAAAATAGAATCCTAGCCCGTCTGAGGAGCTGAAGGCAAGATATTGGGCCTTTCTCTCTCATACCAATTTTTCCAGAAGGTGGAAGTAGGGTTGCCCATAGGCTTCACAGCCCTCCCTGCCCCCCATCCCCACTATAATTACCATCCCTTCTGAATGAGATGCAGCCTTGAAGAGGCTGCCCTACTGTCAGCCTCTCCCGCTGGGGCCTGGGCTCCTCATTACCACCAGATGGCAGTGGGGAGCCCACTGGGGGAGGGCTCAGTCCAGCCTCAGCCCGGAGTGTAAATTCAGGTACTATGGGGATGGGGCTAGCCTAGCCTAGAACCTAGCACATAGGCATGGCCTGAAAAACCCCATTTCACACATTGGGCAGCGCTTTAGTTTACAAAATACTTACACATTCCATGCTCTAATTAGTAGACATGGAATCTTGGGAGCCTCCCATCTATTTTCCATCTCTTGAAATGTGACAAAAACATTTCAAGCCCAGATATAGTATCTCTTCCTCCATGAAGTCTTGCTTGACCATCCTAGCAAAACCCGTGTGCTTGTACAGTACTTACTGCTTTCTCTCTTCTATTATAATTATTGGTGTCCTTGCCTGATTTCCCATGTTGGGCTGGGAACAGCATGATGTAGTGAGAAGATGACCGAGACTGGGACTAGGGGTGACCGAGGGGAGTGGTGGCAAAATCTAATGCTTCTTGGTGCTACATGACAGGCATTTTATGTACACCAATTCATTTCATTCTCAGAACTCTTCTACAGAGCATTTTTCTTCATTTGACAGAAGAGGAAAGTGAAGCTGAGGAATTTAGGTCCTGCAGCTATTGGAATGAGGGCAAGAACTAAGTTCAGGTATCTGCCTCCAAAGCGTTTTCTCTTTCCATTAATCTGTGTTGCCTTCTTTCAAGCCTTGAAGACCTGGGTTCCAGTGGTCCTGCCTTTTAAAAGTTGTAAGATTTTGTGCAAGTTATCTCAGTGAGTCTCAGTCTAAGCTGTAAAACAGGAATAATTACATTAACTTCTGTGATATTGTGATTTTTATAATAAATATATACTCAGTCTTCATCCCTATTCCATTCCTAGCACAGAGCTCCCAAACCCTTAGAATTTTCTAAGTGTGGAGAGCCATAAAGGTGTCTTTTTGTTATGTTAATGGTGTCTTTTGGAAAGCCCCTAGGTCACCTAAGGATGGGAGCTGATTGCTAAAGGAACCAACTTTGTGATTAGAGGGTTGGAACTTATGCCTAATGATTTAATCAACCATGCCTACATAACAAAGCCTTCACAAAAATCCTGAAGAACTGGGTTTGAAGAGCTTATTGGTTCGTGAACACATGGAGGTTTGGGACAGAGCGGTTTGCCTGGAGAGAGCATGGAAGCTCTGTGCCCTTTCCCCATACTTTGCCCTATGCATCTCTTCCATCTAGCTGTTCCTAAATTATACCCTTTTAAAACTGGTAATCTAGTAAGTAAATATTTCCCTGAGTTCTGTGACCCACTCTAGCAAATTAATCAAACCCAAGAAGGCGATTGTGGGAACTTCCAATCTATAGCTGGTCAGTAAAAGCATGAGTGACAACTTGGACATGTGATTGGTAACTAAGCGGGGAACAGTCCTGTAGGACTGAGCCCTTAATCTGTGGGATCTGACACTATCTCTAGGTAGATAGTATCAGAATTGGGTTGAATAATTTTAGGACACCCTAAGCAGATTGCTTGGTGTTGTGGAAACACACACACACACACACACACACACACACACACACACACACACACTGTAATTGGTGTGAGAATGGTAACTGCATGCTGCAATTTTGAAAATTAAATAAGGCAAAGCTCAAAAGCGCTTATCATTGTACCAGGCATAGAGCATAAGAAGGGTTAGACTTGAAATTGCCTCAAGACCAACAAAAGGAACAGCACCAGGAAACAAGGCCCTCTGCAGACAGAAGACCACCCCTAACTGAACTCTTAGTACAAGGGGAGGCTTGGGGCCTGCAGGGAGGTGGTGTTAGAAAGTGGTGGAGTCAGAATTTGAACCCAGGTCCATTACCAAACCAAAGTTTTTGTTTGTGCCCGATACTTCAGAAATGTCAGAGTTTGGAATAAGGAAAGGTTTATTGATTGAGAAGGTGCCACCAACCAAAAAGATGGGAGACCTACTGGTGACTCAAATCCATCTTGTTCGCTGGACTAAGGGGTTTTTAAGGGGTTAGAGGAAAAAAGTTATGTGGAAGTGCTGGTGGAGCAAGTTTTAATTGGAGAAACTCGAACTTGGCCATTTATGGTAAAGGGGCGTCAACACCTGATCTTCCCGGACAACAAACCCTTGGCTTCTGAAAGGGTTTTGGTATTCAAGTTCTGGTCCTTTGGTTTCATGGGCAGGGGCAGAGGGTAGACTTTAGCTCTGGTTGCAGCTGGAGGTCAAAGTTATCTCTTCTGCGCATGCTTTAGCTGCATGACTTGCAGTTTTGGTCTGTTGTCTCTGAAAAGCAACTCGGTATCTGGTTAAACAGTGTAGGACCATTTTGAACTGGTTCTGTGGTGACAGGCCTGCCTGACTCCAAAGCCCATGCTCTTTTCATTCTACGCCCTGACTTTGACCTCCCAGGGGGATCCCTCAGGGCTGAAGAATTGGGAGCAATTTGGGACCACTCAGGACTCTTCCCAGGGCTCAGCGTAGAAGAGCAGGTAAGTCTGTACCTCTGCAGGCTTGGGTCTTTCAGCGAACCCAGTTCTAGCATCCCCATCCCTGGAGGGAAACACCTGGAGATTCGTCTCCATAAAATAAGAGGAAGTGAATCAGCTGTCCTGGAAAACTCATCCCCTCAAACCTTGCAGGAAAGCAGCAGGTTTCCTGGCTAAGTCTCAGAAACCCTGGCTTATATGGAGACAAACCAGAAAAGGGAAGGTGTCACAGTAAACATGCACAGAGGGGGACCTAAGGCCGGAAACTGGTGCCTCTCACAGATGATTCAAGCCACAGTTAGAGGACCACACACTCTGGTTACTCAGGTCTGACTAGTGGGGAGCAAAGGAGGCTTTATGTAAAGACTATGTTTCTTTGAGTTATCTCTGGAAGAGGACAGGTAGGCGGGATGAAACGCAAGCAGAAAGGGTGGGGAAGAAAGCAGGCCCCAGGTGTCAACGCTCTGTTGCTGGAATCTAATGTCTGGAGGTGGGGCCCTCTTGGAAATGGCATCCCTTACTGCAGAGTCTAGCTGGGGTCCTTTGGCTGCTTCCCACTCGGAGCCTCACTCCCATCCCCCAACCTTAGGGGTTACTTGGTCAGT